GCCTCCCAAGTAGCTGGGACTACAGGCACCTGCCAGAATGCTGGGCTATTTTTTTTGGTTGTTTGCCAAAAACAACCATCTTTGTTGTTTGGCAGGCCCAGGCTGGATTCGAACCCGCCAACTGGCGCCTTAGCTGCTTGAGCCACAGGCGCTGAGCCCTCTTCTTTTTTTTGAGATAGAGTCTCACTCCATAGCTCACACCAACCTCAAACTCTTGGGCTCAAGTGAGCCTCTTGCCTCATCCTCCCAACTAGTTGAGACTACAGCCTCCTGCCTGACACCTGGCTAGTTTTTCTATTTTTAGTAGAGACAGGGTGTCAGTCTTGCTCAGTCTCAAATTCCTGAGCACAAGGAATTCTCATGCCTTGGTCTCCCAGAGTGCTAGGATTATAGGCATGAGCCACCACTGTGCCTGGCGGGTAAGGATGCATTCTAAAAGCAGTTTCAGACAATTGAAATTAAGTCGAGGGTTAAATGGAATAAAATCCTCTGAAAGAAATTTCTTACTTTTCATTGGTTTTAAACTGTTAACTAAAGGGTAAAAAACACAGTTCTAAAAAATTTCAACAGTTATGTGAAGGCAAAGCAATTTTTCCATTATCTTAATGTTTATCATGACTTATAGTCATTCTCTAGGCTCATAAAACTATATATAGTTTTCTAAAACTAATGTAAAACTATGTTAATACAGTTTTTCCCTATTAAAAATATAAGACTCCTTTGATCATAAAGTAGCTACCTAAAAATTTTTCTTATTCTCCTAAAACTTAAGTAGGAACATTTCCCAGAACATTTTCTTTGGTATCTTCATGCATTTTAGGATTTGGCTGATGAACTTGCCCTTGTTGATGTTGCAACCGATAAACTGAAGGGAGAAATGATGGATCTTCAGCACGGCAGCCTTTTCTTCAATACTTCAAAGATTTCCTCTGGAAAAGGTTAATTTTAGTTTTATAAAGTTTTTATTTCAGAGCTTAATAAAAGTAATGAATTTTGGCTCGGCACCTGTGGCTCAAGCAGCTAAGGCGCCAGCCATGTACACCTAAGGTGGTGGGTTCGAATCCCCAGCCCAGGCCCGCCAAACAACAATGATGGCTGCAACCAAAAAATGGCCAGGTGTTGTGGCGGGCGCCTGTAGTCCCAGCTACTTGGGAGGCAGAGGCAGGAGATTCGCTTGAGCCCAGGAGTTGGAGGTTGCTGTGAGCTGTGAAGCCATGGCACTCTACCCAGGGGGATAGCTTGAGGCTCCGTCTCAAAAAAAAAAAAAAGTAATGAATTTTACCAAATGTATCAATAAATAAAAACTTTAAAATAGAATCATGTTAATCATGTTTAAAAGGTTTTTTTAAAAAAGAACATTTGGACTGGGTGCCTGTATCTCAGTGGTTAAGATGCCCCTCTGGGGCTAGTAGGTTTGAACCTGGCCCAGGGCCTGCTAAAACAACAATAACAACAACAACAACAATAACAACAAAAAGTAGCTAGGTGTTGTGGTGGGTGCCTGTAGTTCCAGCTACTAGGAAGGCTGAGGCAAGATAATTGCTCGAGCACAAGAATTTGAGGTTTCTGTGAGCTCTGATGCCACAGCATTCTACCAAGGGTGACAAAGTAAAACTCTGTCTCAGTAAAAAAAAATAAATAAAAAGAGCATTTGATTGTAATTGAAAGAAATACAGAAAATACAGAGAAGTATAAAAAGTTTGAATCTCTTCTATTAATGATGTGTACTTTTCTTCTATGCATATACTCTTTATATAACTGACATATAGATGCTGTTTAAACTTGTCATTCTCTCTGTATAATTTCCCAAAGATATGAACTTTTTTTCTTTGAAACAGAGTCTCACTCTCTTGCAGGGGCTAGAGTGCCATGGCCTCAGCCTGGCTCACGGCAACCTCAGACTCCTCAGCTGAAGCCATCTGCTTGCTTCAGCCTCCAAAGTAGCTGGGACTATAGGTGCCTTCCATCACATCTGGCTAGTTTTTCTATTTTTAGTAGAGACAGAGGTCTTGCTCTTGCTCAAGATGGTCTTGAACTCCTGATTTCAATGGATCTTCCCGCCTCAGCCTCCTAGAGTGCTAGGATTACAGCTGTGAGTCACCTTGCCTAGCCCAAGCAAAACAAATTTAAAGCTGCTATTTATAATATCTTCAAACAGGATGTACCTGGGATATGAGTTTTTATACAGAAAATCATACAACCTTATTGAAAGATAAGGTCTAAATGAAGGGATATGCCTCGTTCATAGATGGCTTAATATTGTAAGATGTCCTTTCTCCCCCTCCCCCCCACTTTTTTTTTTTTTTGTTTTTTGAGACAGTCTCATCCTTTTGCTCAGGCCAGAGTGCCATGGTGTCACCTTAGGTCACAGCAACTTCAAAATCCTGGGTTCAGGGGCAGGTGGCTCACTCCTGTAAGCCTAGCACTTTGGGAGGCCAAGGGAGGTAGATTGCTTGAGCTCCTGAGTTCATGACCAGCCTGAGCAAGAGTGAGAGTGAGACCCCATTTCTAATAATAGCCAGACATTGTGTTGGTTGCCTGTAGTCCCAGCTACTTGAGATAATCACTTGAGCTCCAAAGTTTGAGGTTGCTGTGGGCTTTGATGCTACAGCACTCTACTGAGGATGACAAAGTGAAACTCTGCCTCAAAAAAAAAAAATTCCTGAGTTCAAGGAATGGTTCCACCTTGGCCTCCCAGAGTGCTAAGATTATAGGTATGAGCCACCATGCCCAGCCCTTTATTCCTATATTGATTATAAATTATAAGTAGTCCTACTCAAAACTCCAGCAGGTTTTGTTGTTCTTAGACATGCCAAGCTAATTCTAAAATTAGCATTTAGAAATTCAAAGGTCCATGAATAGATAAGGCATTTTTTCCCCCTGTTTTTGAGATCGGGTCTTGTTGGCAGGCTAGGCTTGAACTCCTGGCCTTAAGCAGTCATTTCACCTCAGCTTCTCCTGACAGGACAAGGTGGTGGGAACTTGCTTTCTTTTTTTTTTTTTTCTTTTTTTTGAGACGGAGCCTCCAGCTATCCCCCTGGGTAGAGTGCCATGGCATCACAGCTCACAGCAACCTCCAACTCCTGGGCTCAAGCAAGTCTCCTGCCTCAGCCTCCCAAGTACCTGGAACTACAGGCACCTGCCACAATGCCTGGCCATTTTTTTTGGTTGCAGCCATCATTGTTGTTTGGCGGGCTCGGGCTGGGGATTCGAACCCGCCACCTTAGGTGTATGTGGCTGGCGCCTTAGCCGCTTGAGTCACAGGCGCCGCGCCGGAACTTGCTTTCCTAGATAAGACTTACTATAAAGCTATACTAGTTAAGTACAGAGATAAACATAAGATTGTGATATAAAATTCATAACAGTTTTTTTTTTTGTTATAGTGATAGTTATCCTTATGGAAAAAGAAATAAAATTGAACCCTTACTTGATACCACACGCAAAAATCAAAGCCAGGTTGGTTAAAGAATAAAATGTGAAAAGTGAAAACTTCACATCCTCTGTTTAGAAGATAACGTAGAATATCCTTATGATCTCAGAGTACAGAAGAATTTCTTAAACATAAAGACACAAAAAGCATAAGCAATAGAAAATATAAAGTTAAGGCTGTGTTTACAAGAAGACACTGAATTTGTCTGACAGAAGAATATTTTAAATAAAATAAACTCTGGCTTGGTGCCTGTGGCTCAAGCAGCTAAGGCGCCAGCCACGTACACCTAAGGTGGCGGATTTGAATCCCCAGCCCGGGCCCGCCAAACAGCAATGATGGCTGCAACCAAAAAATGGCCAGGCGTTGGGTGGGCGCCTGTAGTCCCAGCTACTTGGGAGGCTGAGGCAGGAGTCTCGCTTGAGCCCAGGAGTTGGAGGTTGCTGTGAGCGTGATGCCATGGCACTCTATCCAGGGGGATAGCTTGAGGCTCCGTCTCAAAAAAATAAAATAAAATAAACTCTGAAGAGATAATACTAGAGAAGTTGCAAGGTCTTTTGCCTGTTTATCCTTTAGAAGTTGAGCGAGGGAAGAGGAAAAGGAAAAGAGGATGAGAAGGAGGGAGAGAGGTAAAAAGAGAGAGAGAAGATGAGAAAGAGATTGAGATTACTTTGGATTTTTGTGGTTAGATAACACTTTATGTGGACAGCCAGTTTGAGCAAGGTCTTTGAGCAGGAAAGAGTAGATTACATGTACAGAAGGGAGAAGAACTTCCTACTATAGAATTTTTACTTGATGTTTTATTAATCTCTTAGATTAGCATGTAACATGTCAGCCTAAAACATGCCACAGTTCTAGGTTTTTCTTTCTAATTAAATCTCAGCTGGGGGGCTGCGCCTGTGGCTCATTGGGTAGGACACCAGCCCCATACTTGCCGAGGGTGGCAGGTTCAAACCCGGCCCCAGCCAAACTGCAGCAAAAAAATAGCCAGG